TTCATTTATTCATCTTGCATAGTTTGTGCCCTTTGCTACAAATTATATATGGCATATTGCTTCAGGAAAGGTTGTGTACAGGTCAGGAAAATACTTGTGTTACAAAGTAAAAAGATGATCTCTTTGAAGTCTTTCTTGTGCCTTCACTTGAAAATCTTCCAGAAAGATTTAGTATACTTTTCTTTTTTTTGGTACCAGGAATCGAACTCAGGACCTTGTGCTTGCCAGGCAGGTGCTTGTGCCACTGAGCTATGTCCCTGGCCCTAGTATACATTTTTGTGCGCTAAATTTTTTCTTTTTTTTTTTTTGCTTTTTGAGACAGGGTCTCACTATGCAGCTTAGGCTGGCCTTGCGCTCACTTTGTAGCCCAGGCTGGCCTCAAACTTCCAATAATCCTCCTGCCTCATGTACCCTGAATTTTAAACGAGAACATCCCAGATATGCCCTGAAGATTTTAAAACATTTCTTTTGGGTGTATTCAGTAATATAGTGAGAGGCTTGATTTTACTATAAAGGAAAAAATATGGTGATAGACTTGATTTTATATGATTTCCTGGGAGGGCAACACTATGAATGCCACAGTTTCAATGAGAAAAAAATTTCAAGTATTAAAAAAATAAGTAGCTTAAGAATTTTTTTTTTTGGGGGGGCGGTATACAGGTCAGAGACTGTAGAGGTGTAGAATGGTCCATACAACTACTAGGTCAGTAGAGCAGTGAAATTAAGTAGATTACTTTTGTGGATTGGAGGTTTCCTTCCCTGACACAGTTCTAGTTATTAGGTGATATTTTTGTATCCTTTATAACAGAGGGGCAGTTTGGTAATGCTTTACTTTGTTTAAGTCTCCCAGATTAGTGGGCTACAACTAAAATCTAAATCAGTATTTTTATCATCACTTTTCTTTGTTTTGGTAGAAATAATATTTTATATGATATATTAAAATTGAATGAGGAATTATTCAGATTAATATGGAATATGTATAGGTTGTACAGTGTTCTAAACTACACTTCATAAAGTTAGGGGTGAGATGATTGTAATAAATGCTGGATTTCATCTGGGAATGATATTAGAAATTGGAAAACTTATCGTTTTATCTTTGTGCAAAACAGTTGTGTACTTATACCTGCATAATACAGCTGTGTAAAGTTCTGCCCCTTGTGCATTAAGAAAAATGTGTCAGAGCTGGAAAGCATCCAACAAATGGCAAATAAAATCATCAAGAGGCGGTAGTGGTTTAAAAGATTTATAACCTTCAATGTGGAATGATCCTTGGGGATGTAATTAGAGATCTTAGAGTTGGAAGGGAAATGCAGCTTAATTTAATCCAACCTGTTACTTTGCAGGAATTTATCTTATGGTAATCTTGACAAATAGCAGAGTTTCCTGATTGATTCCTGGGCTGTGTAGCTAATAGTACTGATTCTGAAGACATGCTGCCTGGGCTTAAATCTTAGCTCTGTTACATACTAGCTAAGTGCCCTGAGCAAGTTTTAGCCATTCTGTGCCCCATTTTCCAGGCTTACTATTGCCAGCAGCTGTGTTCCTGAAAATAGACAAAGACCACAGGGAACCTGACCTCTGACCCCTTCCATCTAATATCAAGACATCAGTTGGGAATCAAGTGAATGTTAGTATTATACATCCCATGAAAAGGTACGTGCAGGGACTAGTAGTTACCTTAAATTTCTTTTCTTTCCTTTGGTTTGAGTATAGGCCAGAGTGGTGAAGAGGGTGAAGAGGGAGGCGCTTTGTAGAGCAGGTAACTGCTGAAAGAATTTCTGTTGGTTACTGTATTGTCTATTTTCCCTTCTAGAATGATATAAATCAGTTCTGTTCCTTTTATGTGACAGTTCTTCACCTTTCAAATGTGAAACTGTAAGAAGACTTTGGGTGAAAGTGAACCTTTTCCTGTGAAGGGATGTGCCCTTTAGACTATGTCTTGTCTTCAGCCCTTACTAGCATGTTCTTTCTGCTTCCTAACTACCAAGAGATGAGCAGTTTCCTCTGCCACACCATTCTGCCATGATATTTCTGCCTCACTACAGGCCTAGAGATAATGGAGCCAGTTTACCTTTGACTGAATCCTCTGAAATCCTGAGCCAAAATAATCCATTCCTTCTCTGAACTGTTAATCTCAAGATATTTTGTCAAGGTGATCAAAAGTTGACTAACACATATTATTGGCCAGACCATGATCATATCTAGTTACAAAATATGCTAGATTACAGTATGTTCTCTAGGTAACTATTGTTCAGGTGTCATTTGGGAGTCTTACCTGGGAATGAAAGGTGGAGTAGATATTGGGGGACAACTAGCCGTGTGACAGAACCACTTCATTCACCACTTAGATCCTAAGTGTTAAGTATAATTAGTAGTTTTTACCGTGGTAGGCATTCATTAAATAGCTGTTCACTGGGTGAATGTCCTTCATTGTCCCATATAAAATGAACACTGATTGGGATATTTACTTATATACATACTAAATTATGGCAGGTTTGTCTATCCTCATATGTTTATTATGTTCTTTCTCATCTACAGTTTAGAAATAAGGTATTCCTCACAGTCTTTAGACAGATTAAATACCATACAAAATTTACATCAGCTCTTTTATCACAACTTTTTTCCCAGTATTAAAACTTGGAGGTCTATGAAAAAATCTCCTCTCATGTGTTTGTAATCAGCATAGCCCTTACAGGTACAACGTATGTCTTTAGAATGAATAAAGTAATGGAAATAAAACTTTGATGAATGTAAGCCTTTTCTTTCCTTTTGATTTACATAAAGTTCATATCTGTTTAATATTTATGTGAAGTTTCGTTCTTAAATCTAGTTTCCAGGTAGAGAGTGATTATGAAAAATTATTTTTGATTAGTTATGGTTAAGTACTTTTTCCTTAAGGAATTACTAGGTAAGAGAGGCTAATATAATTCAGAAAAAAGGCTAGTATAATTCTGCATTTGACCCTTTTGACATCAGTTATCTAATTATCAATGTGCTTAACTGTTTCAAGGAAAACACCACTTTCTTTTCAGTATTTCATGGAAAATTTTCTTTATGTATAAAGATAAATGAGTTATTTCTTCAGATATTATAGATAAATAATATTTTATCATTATATCATTTTCTAAGTGAATTTATTTACTTTTTTGTTTGCTTGTTTTCCACATTAACCATGTGGCAATAAAAAAAAAATTTTAAAAAATCTGCTTGGTTGTTAAGAGTTCTTGCTCTTTGATCTGGGAAGATGAGAGTAGATAGTGATTTTACTTATCAAATGGGAAAAGAGTTGAATTCTTCCCTGTTACATTGACAAGGGGATTGCGGTACTGGTTACATTCCTTGACTCCAGGTACAGTGCATGATAGTAATATTCATAGAATTGTTGTGTTGAGGGAACAGGGCAACTAGCACTTAGAATAATGCTTACTGTATATTGAACACTTGCTAAATGTCATTAGTTGTAGCTTCTGTCATTGTTACTATTTTTTCGTAATCTGTGAAGTCTGACTTCATGAAATACTTACATCAGCTGACTTCATTTCTTCCATAGATTGTATGCCGTGAAGTGAAATAGAGGACACAAGTTTGGCAGATGAATACTTAATTTATTTTTAAATGTGTTGAATTTGAGGTGTTTGTGAGATATTAATCTTGAAATATTGTATATGAATTTGAAGGATGGGACAGAGTCACTGGCATATGACATTTAAAACTGTGATAGATGAATGAAAGGATCTACCTGGGTCCTAGGTTAGAAACCCAGGCATACTAACCTTTAAAGAGTAGTGGGAGGACAACGGGGCATCTAGGAGTTAGTAATAGAAGCAGGAGAGAGCAATGCTACGCCCAGAGAGGGGGTACTCAATGGCATGTGACACAGCAGAGATTACGGTAATCTGAGAACTGAAAAGTACCCATGGTTTGATAGCTGAAAGGTCTTTTCTGACCCTTTGTTTTCAGTAGGCAGATGTAGGCAGAGTCCTGATGCAATGAATTTGAGAATGGTAATGAGAGGAAGAGAAGAAAATAATGTGGACAGTTGTTTTGAGAAATTTTGATGAGACAAATGTTGGAACTAGAGGAGGATACTGGGTAAGTTGAAGATATTTGTGGGGAGTGTTGATAGGTTGAGGAGAAAGAGGTATTTGGGAAGAAAAATGTGAAATAGGACAGAAAGTATAGAAGCAGTAGGTTCAAGGACACAAGTTGCTGAGACTGGCCTTGAGCAGGAGGAGGGCCACACATCTCTGCAGCTAGAGGAAAGAGTGGTGGAATAGAAGAAGCCTTTAATACAGAGAGCATTCTTAACAATTTCATTTTCCTCAAAGAGAAAAAAGGGAGTTTGTGTGCTGAAAGGAGTAAGGTAGGTAGGTGTTTTTAGGAGAATGGGAAAGTTTTAGAGTGGAATTGAGGAAAACTGGAGAGATGGCTGACAAGGTTGTTCCCTAATTGAGGGATTTTTTTCATCTGAGTGGTATTCAAGGATTATTACTATTAGTGTGGATAAAATAAATATACGAAAAAGGGAAGGGTATTATTTAATTTAACATGGCTTTATGGTAAAGGCAAAAAGGGCACCATGTGAATTTTTTGATGAGATAGTAATGAAAATAATTCTAAGTTTCTAATTTGTTGTAGCAATTATTTTTTCTATAATAAATAATATTAAGCAGAAGAGGAAAAATGAGAAAATACAGTAGATTCTGTTCTGTTTAAAAGTTGTTTTGATGTTGATTACATATTCATGTGGGAATATAGAATTCTGTAACTCTTTTCATAGTTGTGCAATTCAGTTCTCTGCAGTACTTAGGAACAGTGTTGACCAAGGCATAGGTCTGAACCTGCTCACCCAGAAGCAATAGTGATAGAGCTTCAATTCTGTGCAGCAGATGATAACAGGAGTGGCTTATATGTGTCAAGAAGTTTAAGACATGGGAAGGAAGCATGGATAATGATTACATCTACATGACAGCCCATTTTCTCCTTTTTCTTTTCTTTAGTTGGAGAACATCAGTTGACAGGCCATAAAGTGGCAGTTAAGATCTTAAATAGACAGAAGATTCGCAGTTTAGATGTTGTTGGAAAAATAAAACGAGAAATTCAAAATCTGAAACTCTTTCGTCATCCTCATATTATCAAACTGTAAGTATTTGATACCTAATATGTAAGAGAAAAATGTCTTGAAATATTTTTAATAGAATTTTACAAACACTTATCTTGAGTTATCCTTACAAAAATATCACTTTTTCATGTTTTCATTGTTGACTGATGAAATAATAAATACTTCTTTGCACGCTCTGGGTTTTAGAATTAAAAGTCATAGTTTCAAAATTGGTACTGTCTTCAAATAATGAATGCAGCCTTGAAAGTTGACTCTATTCTGCACCCTCCAGGTCATACAAGCATTTATTATTCCTAGGTTGGTTCATCTTTGTAATTTTTTTGTCACTTTCCATTAATATTCCAGTATTTTGTTTGGGAGAAGGTAGAAAGGAAACTGTAAATTGCCCAGGCTGTGCTTGATTTAGCAGTTCTGCCTGCCTGCCTGCCTGAACCTTCTAAGTAGCTGGGATTATAAGCATATGCTACTGTAATTTGTGAAGATTATTGTAAAACACCACCTATAAGCTTGGTGACCCACCTCTCCTATCCTGTTTTCTTAACTTTAAAATGGGTTCTTCCATTGTGTTTAGTATAGATGTGTTGACATTGATAAAATACCTAGTATTTGATGAACATTGGCCCAAAAGCAGGAATTAGCAATCTGTGAGCTGATTCCAGTTTTCTTTCACAATTTTGGATGGTTTTCAGTTAACAGAAACTGTTGCTATCTGACTTTGTCTTCATGTTAGTAACGTCTTAGTTACTGAGTCCCTTCGAAGTTTAATCTCTTTGTTTTGCATTGAGTGGCATCTCTTTGTGAGAGGAGAAAGCTGAAATGGCTAGCCTCAAAGTAGCATATGCCCATGAGGCTTGCAGAAGGAAGAGGTCTCTGTGCTTGCCTTGGGCCGTGACCTCTTTGTGTTCTGTAGATGCTGTCCCTGAAAGACCCCATTTGGAATATGTGTCCCAGTTCCTATTCTTTTACTGAAAACATAGTTTGCATGTCAGTAAGCAGTTGTAGTTGTCATAGAGATTTAAATTTTGTTTTTTGTCATAATTATCAATTTTTTTATTTCTATAACTACTGATAATTTTTGACTATCTCATTTTGATTTATAATTATTATTGTGTTTTCTGAACGAGATATAGAAGATTATCAGAGTTGGAGGTGGATTTAGTGTTTAAAATAGTTCTGACTTTAAGCGTTGAGCTTTAGTTCATTTAACCACATCACATCTTTAATTGTGGACCTGAATTACAGGTTTTTAAGAAAGGTGCTCATGTATTGCTACTGACCACACTTACTGACATGGCCTCTAGTAGAGTCAGTGTTTTAAAAGAGGGAGAGAGGCCTGATTCTTTAGAGTGGCTTTGCTTGTTTTATGCAGTCTTAACTACCTGCAAAAATAGTTCTCTTGTTGCAAATAGGCGTCTAGAACTAGCCACAGTTCGAACACCAAATACTAAGAGTAATGGATATTGACTGAACAATTTTTGTATTAATTCAGATGTAATATATACTGAAACTCACTGGTAAAATGTTAAAAGGAGCAAATAAGATTTAAAAGAAAAGAAAAACTTAGCCGTGGGCTAGAATTTGTTTAGTTGCTTCTGTCCTTTTTAAAATTTTTTTATTCCATAGTTCTTAACAAAAATTATTTAATTGGTCAGAAGATGATTACTTTCTAGTTTGGATGAGGTGTTTTTTGCCTGACTACTTATTTTAGCTTTAGTGTTATTAACCTGTACACAGTTCTTTAGTACTGTTTACCACTGCCACTTTCACTGCCACTAGGTTTCCATCACCTCAGAGTCTTCTGGTGTTTCTTTTCAGTGAAGCTTAATTGTCAACTTGATTTGCTTGGGAGCTGCCTAGGGGACTGGTAAAGCACAGTTCTGGGTGTGTCTGGGTGGGTTATGGAGATGTGATCTTGGGGTTTATGTCTGGGGTCCATGGTCTCTTTTTTTTGCTCTGCCATGAACTGAGCAGCTTTGCTCTGCCACTTCCATCCTATCAAGTCATGGACTGAATCCTTTGAAAGCATAAACCAAAATAAGCCTCTTCATTCAGTTGTGGATATCAAGTGTTATGACCCAGCAGTGGGAAAACTGACAAATACGGGGCCTCTCTTCATCTTCTTGCCCATTTAATACATTATTTTAGCATACTGAACTATTGTAATCTTAATGACCCTCTTTGGGTGATGTCATTACTGTAGTGGCATCATTTGTTATCTCTATGCTGAGGAAGCACAGATCTATATTTCTGCTCCACTTTATTCCCATGAGTTCTGAGAATATTTATTGAATGTTTCCATTCTCAAGTACAGAGTCATCTGAAACTTGGAACTAAACTGAACTTTTTTTGTTCTTTGATCCGTTCTTCTTCTGTTCTTTTTTCTTTCTTTTCATGATTGAAAATGCCATTCATGCAATTTCCTAAACTCGACATTTAGGCATAGTCTTTTGTTACTTCTTTTCCCTCACCCTTTTTCTAGATTTAAGAGAGGATTAGAAATTGTGCATTATAGGATGGATCAGCAAAATCAAAGCTATGGAATCCTCTGTGACAAACCAGTTTCTTCTGAAACACACACATGCACAAACAGAAAAAAAACTAACCCCAGATGGAGGGTCAATGTGCGAAATAAAAGAGACCTAAGAGACATATCAGCCAATTGCAGGGTATGGTCTGTATTTGGATCCTAATTTTAAAAAAAAAGTATACACTAATTAAGAAACCATCTGATTCCATATTTTGATGAAATTCATGATTTTTCTGCATGTATGCCTGATGACAATATTGCATATCATGGATGCACATACACATATGTGCATATACAAATGCACACATACATTTTGAAAGTTGTGCCTTAGAGATAATTACAGAACTATTTGTAGGGAAAATGAAAATCAAATTCAATATGAATTGGTAGCTGGAATAATTAAGTTGGAATCCAAGACATCTTATACTGTAGATTGTTATAGAAGTGTTGATTTATTCTGTAAGTCCATACATAGCTAAGAAAAGCACCATCAACCCAATAAAAATGGGCAAAACACACAAGCAAACATTTCATAGAAAGAAATATATATGTTGTTTTGTAGTTGTTAGGTAATATAACTGTAAGTCTGCAAGCTTTCTGAAGATTTTGACATTGCTGAACTGTTTGAAAAACAGTTGACAGTCTCCTAAAATTGAGCATTTACACATATTGTGCCGTAGCAGTTCTGTTCATCAGTATATATAAAGAGAAAAATCTTGCAATGTACAAGAATGCTCACAACAGCCACATTTTAGAAATAAGCACTGGGTATGGTGGGAGGAACACCTGTAATTATAGCACCCTAGAGGTTGAGGCAGGAGGATCTCTACGAGTTTGAGATGAGCCTGGGCTACATAATGAAATTCTGTCTCAAAAAGAAAAAAAAGAAAAAAGAGATGCACAGATCCCAATAAAATAAGTCTTCAAATATTACATATAGGATACCTTTCTATTTTATGAAAAAAAACAAATTTTCGTAGAGAATAACTATAGTTGATACACTGTGTATCTTTATCTTTAAAGTAGTTACTCAGAGTACAAGACATAAACCAAAAAGATTCTTACAAAAAAGAAACAATAACACAAAACTTTCTTTTTTAACAAACTAAGATAAACTACTAACATAAGTGAAACAAATTAGCATGTATGTGTGTGTGTGTACGTGTATGTGTACACACACACACAAGATGGCCAGAATAATTGTACTACTAATTTCTATTGCTTTCTTGAAAGGAACAGTTGATATTTAATTATTTGATCATTCTTGCATGTCTGTATTTGTTTATCTGAGTACCAATATGAAGATAACAGTATGTAATACAACAGCCATTATTAATTTTTCACCTTGTCTTGAATTCTGTATTGTTTTTATGTTGTTTCAGTTATGTCTGTGTGTTTGTTGATATGTTTTTGTTCTTTTATCTCTAAAAATAAAATTAAAAAAACAAATTGGCATATATGTTGAAATATTTTTAAAACAACAGAATATGTAATTTTGGGGACCTATTTGAACCCCATCCTATTATAATTATCTTCCATTTTGTGTACCCCATCTCTCTCTCTCTGACTCCCCCTCACTCTTTCTCTCTGTCTCTCTGATATATATATATATATCAGATATATATATATACTTGTGATATATATATATAGAGAGAGTATTATATATATATATCACAAGTATTTCTCATGCAATATTTGAACTGTGTATCTGACTTATTTCACTTAACCTGTTTTCAAGTCACCTCCATTTACCTGCAAATGCCTCAAGTTTATCTTTATGGCAACATAGTACTCCATTGTATATAAATATTGTACCACATTTCCTTATCCACTCATCTGTTGATGGACATACATGCTGTTTCCATGATCTAGCTGTTGTAAATTGTGCAGCTGTAAACATAGGTATGCATGTATTCCTCCAACATAATGATTTTAACTCTTTTAAGACGTTACCTAGGAGAGTAGCTGGGTCAAATGGAATTTCTATTTTTAGTTTTTTGAGGAATTTCCACATGTATTTTTACAGTGAGTATAGTAGTTTACATTACCACTAATAATGTACAGTAGTATAGTTCCTTTACTCCCACATCCTTGCCAGCATTTGTTACTAGTTTTTTTGATGATAGCCATTCTTTCTGGGGTAAGATGGTATCTCTGTAGTAGTTTTAATTTGTATTTCTCTGATGGCTAACAGTGATGAGTATTTTTTCAGATATTTATTGGCCATTTGTAATTCTTCTCAGAAGTGTCTGTTCATTTTGGTTGTGGAATTTAGCTGTGAATCCATCAGGTCCTGGAACTTTTCTTAACTGGTGATTTTTTAAATTGCTTTCATTTTGTTCCTGTTATTGGATTGTTCAAGATTTTTAAGTATTCCTGGTTTAGTTTTGGCAATTTCCATACACTTGGGAATCTCTCCATTTCTTCTGAGTCCTGCAAATGTTTGTCCTATATGTTTGTGGAATAGTTGCTAATTTCTGGATTTTGGCAGTG